CTCATTATATACATATATATATATATGTATATATATATATATATATATATATATATACATATACATATATATGAAGTAATAACTTACTTGAATACAAAATACATTGATGTTGTATTTTAAAGCGCATAAAGTATAAAAGTACAATGCATTAATTAAACACACTTTATAAGAAGATTGTTCTAGGCTTTTTCTAACAAGTGATATTTATAAATCTTAGAATAGTATTATAAATACAACTTTACATGAAATATATTAATTAATTATACGTGAATTAATTATCAAAATATACAAATATATATACAGGTATGTACTAGTGTAATACAGCATGCAATTATTTACTATCTGATCACTATTATTTTAAAAATTAGTTAGCTATAAATGCGTAGAATACTAATTACTGCTATATACATTGGTATGATCTCTTTGTAATTTAAAGTATATTAAAACATCGAAACGCAGCAAAATATATTACTATACAAATACATTAAATGACTAGAAATAATATATCGTATACAGTATTTTGCTTAACTTTACATATAAAATAATACTTTTATAATTAGTAATTTATAATTTATTAGTAATTTATTAGTAATTTATAATTTATATAGTAATTTATAATAACTAATGCGCATGGATAATTAACTATAGATAAGCTCTTATTACAACAAGAATTTTTTAAATAAATTTTGATTTTAAAATTATACATACATATTCGCAGGTAAGATCTAATTTGTATAAAATATATTGCTTGGTAAATGTAATCGTACACAGATAATCGCTATCTAATTCGAGAATGTGTATCATTATTCGCACGTGTGCTTACAACAAGCTTGCGCAACCCCCGTAAATTTGCCTTAAGAGCGGATGCAAAGGCTCGTCTTCCTCTGGTCTCTTGGCAGAACTAGTTTAGATACAACTGTCACCCCATTGTGACAGCGTTAGTAACACCATAGTACCGCTGTCTGTGCTTGTTTTACGACCTGCGTTACCGGCTACAATGGCGGTTCCCTTACACCAGCGACGGGAAGTTAAGGTCTTCCTTCCTGAATTCATTCCGTGGCCCATCAGCATTTCCCTTTGGTATTTGTCCTTCGAATTATTCAGTCGACCTGGCCCTCTCACGGACCGAGGATCAGAAAGTAGCAAGAACCTCTCGCTGTTGACACAAATCGCAGCTGTCTTAAATAAATAAGGGCCATCGCGTCCGGTTCAAGCGATAGCTTCTCGTTTTAACGTTTAGCGAGATGCATACGAGATGAGACTACTGAGAGATATCCAGATAGTGCCAGTGATGTGGACAGATCAATACGCACTTGGCGCATTAATCTTTTCGATGAGAAGAAATTGCTGATCTAAAAATGTACGGTTCGACTTTTTTTCTTTGAAAACATTGAAATAATTGAGTAACATGAATATTAATTTTGTGATAATTGGAGATTTGTAATAACAAACGGTGCAGTGATATATTTTACAATTTATCTTCGTAATGTTAAATAATCATGTATATAGATTAACTCAGTAATTTCATTTTTGAAGTGTAGAGATTAAGTGCACAAATAAAACGTTACAAAAATAATTAATATTGCTTATATAGTAATTAATGCATTAATTGATTACTCGCTATTGATGTCTAATACTTCGACATTACAATTTGTTAACGGTTCACTTTTTGCATCCTCCCGGCTTTTCTAGTTACATCCCTGAATGGGATTAAATATGCAACTTTGATTAAATGCAACCGTTTCCCCAACACGCGCACCATGGCACATTACCACTACTGGTACTAGTCTTGCGGGTTTTCACGTTGGTGATTTCCCGGCTACTGATCGAGTTCGTTCTCTCGCGTTCCAAATTCGGCGCGGTAACATCCGCGAACTTGTCTTTGGCATCGACACTGCCACTCCTCGACCTTTTTAACGATATTTGAGACGGTCGTCTTTTAGAATTAATGTAGACGGACATCCTTCGGTTTTGATCCTTACGCGGCGAGTCCTGTCCCGAGGACGACGATCTGCTTTCGTTCTTGTTCTCCTGCACGTCAGGCGGCATCGTGCTCAATCTCCTCGGTTTCTTCCGCGTCATTTTTGCGGTCGACTCGAGCATATCTGTCGATATGGCGCTAATCTGTTTCTTCAGTTTTCTTTGTGCTGCCGGCGATAGTGGTGTTTGGTCCTTAATCAGAGTTTTGTCTTTCTTCACGATCTTTTTCCGTCTCTGCCCGTTCGGCGAATTCGCCGCGCTGATTGCCTCTTCGTCCTCGTGATGCGAGTCGCCGTCAATTGACGTCTGCGTTTGCGCCGGTACCTTTGTGACATTATCGTAATACATCATTCCGCATCTCGGCGAGTAAAATTGACCGGGTCCTCGCGACACGAAGGGAACGTTCTGGTACAGACTCTGGCTCTGAAGATATCGATTTGCGTTTAATCTTCTCAGGCTCGTCAGATCGTAAGGCGTGGCGGAGGGTGTCAAGGTGCAGGGACTCGGTTTCTCGAAGGAAGTCACTTGAATATCCTGCTTGCCGCTCATCAGTTGGTCGCTGGGTATCAGCAGTCGACTCTGATCCGGCAAGTGCGCAGCTCGTAACTTCTCGTCGAGGTGAACGCCTTGGCCGTAACCCGACATAGGATACGGATAAGCGAGGCCGTCGTCGTTCACGTGAACAGACAGTGGCGTCGTGGCGGGAGGAGGGTTTGATTTTACTTGATAATTGGAGCAGATCTTGTCGAAGTTTCGTAGAAAAGGACTGCTGAAGAGATGGTAATCTATCGAGGGTAGGTTGGGCACCTCTGGCGTTGGAGTTTCTGGACTCGGTGCCTGCTCGGCACGCGGTACCTTTAACGTCACGTTTAGATGACTCTTGTACGGTTTACTAGAGGAACCGCTTATATTGTCTAGAGTATTGTCGCTCTTCGTGAGCGGCTGAGACTCGACGTGATTCAGTTTTAATTGTTGCGTGACACTCTGAGAATCACTCGAGAGATCTTGGCAGGAGACCGATTTCATCAATTGACTACTTAAAGTACTTTTACTATCCGTGGTCAGTAGATTATCTGTACTCAAAAATGCCTTCGGATCACTCGCGGCGTCTTCACAAGGTATCGCGCCGTTTATGTAAATGTCCGCTGAACCTTTTAACCCTACGAAAGGGTTAGTCCTCGAAATCACCGTGGAGGCCGTTTTGCCGCTGCTCGAGCTAGTTCCGGTTCCAAAATGACTCATACTGGCGGTCGGCGATTCTTGTTTCTTCAATTTGAAAGGCTGCAGCGCGAAGAAGCGTTTAGGCTTTTCCGGCGCCGTAAACATCGTCGTGGTCTCCTCGGCATTTTCAATTCGCTGCATATCCTTTTCTCCATTTGCCACAGCAGATCCAGGAGAGTTCACGGCCCAGACGTTTCTGCCGACTGCTTCTTCCGAATTTGAAGTCTGCGTTCGTGAATTTTGAATAGTTGATGTCTCGTGGAGCTTCGCGGGTTGCCTCGTACTTGTGTTCCTTCTTCTCAAGAAGCTGAAAGTATTCGACGACGGCACCGAGCTTTCCAATGAGGAAGCTATTATCGGGTGCGAGTCCGGCTTTCCTGTCGTTGACACGACGGGAGCGACGCTACCCGTATAAGTGGGCACTTGTTTTTGAGAGACCGTGTCGTTTTGCCAACCGATGGGCGGGACGTGAATTTGAGGTAGCATCGGATCGGCCACTTCCAGATCCCCGACGTCTAAGTTGGCCAGCGGAATCAATGGATCAGACTGTAATCCGGCATACGGTGAAGCCAATAATGCGGACGTATCCGTGGACAGCATTAAACCCACCGTACTCGGAAACTCGAACGGGCATTCGGTGTAATAACTGGTTCCGCTGAAAGCACTCGTCGGCTCGTACGTGGCCGGATAAAACGGGATGTTGTCGTGAAGCTGCCGGGGACCGAGGACCGGCGGGGGTGGATGCCCGACAGCCTCGTTTCCCTGGCCCTCCTCCGGTGTGGCCTCCGTCTTCTCCTTATCTCTCCTCAGCTCCTCCTCCTCGTCGACAACCGACAGATCGTCGAACTCCACGTGAAGCCGATGCATATTGCTGCTCATCTTTTCGGAAGAGATCTTCTGATTCTCCGCGTTCTCTAGCTGTTCCTCTTGGTTGAAGTCCTTGACCGTCTTCTCGTTATCTTCGTACTCCTCCTCGTCCTCCTCGCAAGAGAAGTCCGACTGCAGGCCGTCATCCTCCTCGGAGCGATCCTGTAATTTGCGGCATGTTCCGATATATTGTTACCGTTGATTACATCGATTATATCCCGCAACAATAATGTTATGTCTTTATTAGTTGATGGCTAACATTTTTAGGAAAGGTATTATAAGGACGAATGCGAGAGAGTTTTCTTGCTATAGGTTTTTGTTACTTATTAATGGGCTGTCATTATATTTTATTAGTTTTATTATGAATTATTTACAGCACACATGACACAATTAAAAATCAAGCTGCCAACCTCGTACTCTTCGCTGTCGCCGTGGTTCTTCTGTTTTTTCAAAATATCCTCAAGTTTGTCGTACTCGTCCCTGAGACTCCATATTTCCCGACGCAGCTGCTCGTTCTCCCTGCGCAATTTTTTGATGTCGTTTTGGCCTGAAATCACGACAGACTGAAATGTTTCGAGGTAACAAGGCCAACGAGTGAGATATTCTTATATAGCAAGGAGATAAAGCCGACATATCGCGGTAGATTTGACTCGCAATTTTTCTCGCGGAAATCACTTAATCACCGTTCGATAGGGGGGGGGGCGGGAAGGGGGACCAGCAACATACGGCTGCTCACAATAGCGTTGCATCTATCGGAACGATCGATCATTGGTCAACGCGGCAACAATCTCCGCCTGAGACGTCAGCCTCCTCTCTAACCCTGTGCGCCCTTTCGTGCGTCAAGAAGCCGGTGATAAATCACTAGGCACTGGGCCTTCCAATTACTTAACTTCGCAGAATGAGAGAGAAAGAGAGAACGAGATTCACCGTCCACGCGTATAACGCGTTAAATCTTTTCTGGGGAAAGTCTATTCGCGATACAAACTCTCAATATACTCCCGAGAAAATAGAAATACCGAAAGCGTTTCGTTTATAGCATACATATAAAGATAGGAATACAAGATAGGCATTATGTATAACTTTATAAGTATCTTTCACTCAGATGCGAATTAAGTATCTTATCAATCATCGGTATCTTAACCGTAAGATTTAAATTTATTTAAAAATAGAGAAAGCATTTTACATTTTTGTATTTTGCACAAATTTTAATTTTGTATATTATGTTTGTTGCATATGTGCCTCTGGTTTGAATCTTATACGTTCTAGGAACATGTGTGTGTGTGTGTATGTATGTGCGTGAGAGAGAGAGAGAGAGAGAGAGAGAGAGAGAAAGAGAGAGAGAGAGAGCATGAATTATGTAGAAACTTTACAAGCTTTTAGATTTTTCAGAATCGCTCCCTGATGTGACAAATTTTTAGTTTACTTCATATTCATTCTCTTCTATATACATTATACAAGTATCTAGAATCAGTCAGGTCGGATGATGTATGCGGATGCAAGCTCCATTGTTGGAAACGAAGTCGATCGGTTCTTCTTTTTAAGCGTTAGTGATCTTCGACCCACCTAGATGCGAGTTAAGTTAAGTATCTCATCAGTCATCGGTGCCTCCTACTTCGATGATTAATGGCTTTGTGCTTGGAGCGTGTTTTCCCAGCGCTTGAACTACGACCCGATCGCGGAAGTTTTCAGATAATTCAGCGATCTATACCGTTACAGACTTTTTATTATCTATGTTGCATAATACTTTTTCTTCTTGTCTGGCTAGTGTTTTAAACATTAGTTGCTGGAAGAAAGGTAGTAAATCAGAAGGAAAAATAAAATCGACGGCTTATCCTTTGTATGAAAGAATCCGCGAGGTCAGTGATACATTCTTAAGATATCAGTAATATTCTTTTTTATTTGTAAGGCGCGACACGCTTTATGTGTATAATATCATCTTTTTAATTATATAACATCTATTTTCATAATATATTCTGACTTCAAAGATCAATTTTTATTTATAACGAACAGTTATGTATGGATATATTCTCTGAATTATCATACACGCAAAATCATTGACTACATAGGTGAAAGGAAAGGCAGAATGATTTGCAAAAAAACTCTGTTTTTCTGACTAGCTTTTTGCATGACACAAAATGTTGTCCATGGCTTATCGATTTTTCTACGGTTATGCACTCATAAAAGTTGCGTGAAAGCGCTCGTGATAACAGTTCTCTTAAGCCTAGGTAGTAAGCGCGCATGTGCATGTAACAAGGAAAGCCATGTGGTAAATCAGGATTTAAACCTGGCTTACCAGTCTGAAATTTAAATAAATTAAATCCTTCTGGAGGTTCATAAATTCGGATTTTCCCTGTGGACACCGACGGCTATTTGGATGCTATTAAAACTTGGGCCATTTATCTTCTGTATGAGCCCTGTTTGAAAACGATATTTGTTCAAATACACTGCAACCGACCATTGATCTTTTTTATTTGTGTGTCGATGATGGGGAATATAAAAACCATCCGATGCATTTCAAACGTATTAATTTCACGATTTTGCTCGCATGTACCTAAACATTTGTTTTGTAGCAATTTTTTTTTACAAATAGAAACGTATGTTTACTATGATCGTTATGAAACACGTTAATTGAAAATGTTTTATTTAATTTTCAATATTAATTTTTTTACGTAAGTAAATTCTCGTATGAAATTTATCAAGCATTTTCGTCATTCGTCTATTTTGGAAATTTTGGCTAAAACGCCCGATTACAAATTTGCCAAAAAGTCTGCCACCAAAATAGTTTTCGATAGCACTGGAAAATATCCTATAAATACGCGTAGGTCTAAAAAATAAAATTAGTCGTACGTTTGAAACGGATTCGCCAACTTCGCACGGCGATTACGAGCGACGTATAAAAAGAACGACTATCGCCATGGTTTGTAGATCTTACATCAAAATAACGCAACGATTTTTTATTCGGGTGTAAGCTCGCTGGCGCGAATACGCGGATATTTTTAGCCGCGTGCAGAATACCCTTCAATCAACCATCACGCTGAATATTTGCGAGCAGCGACGTAATATGGCTCACTGAAAATGCTCTCGGCGACCGGTGTCCATTTTATTTTCGAGAGCGTGATGATCGTGACAGTTCGAGTTTCGTATGGGGTTATCAATGCGCGTACCCTGGAGCATAAATTTTTGAATTTACGGAAATATTGCAGGTTGTGATATTCTAATTTTAATTCATATATGACACGAAAGTAACGTAAGCTAAATTTTAAAAACTCATCAGTATACGCATTACATGTCAATTAATATCTATAATTCTTATAAATTAAGAAACGTTAAATTATCTTAAATTTATTGAATTGTTTTAAATAAGGTTACATTTAGCGTTAAATATACTCGATTTGACATTTTAGTGATTTAATATGAGGATTATATTTAATATTATTGTTCGATAAAAATCGTTTTTAAAATTAAATATAAAGCAACCGATTTAAAATTTGACTTTCTATTCTTAATTGACTTGTATTTCGTTCGCTAACATTTCATTATAAACGCTAGACAAGAATATCTTCCCGCATGCATACTTTATCATCTCTTTACGTCATACCGCTCGTCAAGGTACGCTTTATTCTTTGCTCGTAAAGTACGCGCGGGCGCAAGAGAGAGAAAGAGGAAGAGAGAAAGAGAGAGAGAGAGAGAGAGAGAGAGAGAGAGAGAGAGAGAGAAAGTTTTAATTATTCCTGCTCAAACACGTACCGGGAAAGTTTAATCACTTGGTACTGTCGGCATCGTGTTCGTCCTTATTTCCGTCGCGTGGAATCCTCTGCACCTTTTAAAAGTAGCGTCGGTCCGATATTTCTCACGAAGGACCGACATTAATTAATCCTGGCAGTTAAAAAGACCGAACTGTCCTCTTTGCATTCGTGTCGCATCGCCTTTCGGGAGGCAAAGTACACAAATGTACACAAACTCGTGAATCTGCGTTTTCGAAAAAAAAGAAAGGGAAGAAACGAAAAATTGCACGGGGACGGAAACGAGAGCGCAGAGCAAGCCCCTTCGCGTTTTTCGTCGGCTTCGTCGTCGGTCTCTTTCCGTTTGCTGTGGGCGTTTTCGCCGCGAAGGTGATCAAAGCAGCTGCGAAATACATATTTGGTTTTGCCAACTCGCCTCGTTCCTATCAGCAGGCCGGAATTTCTTCTGGCTCTTTGAAAAGTGGAAATTGCGTCCCCAGTCGACGAGAGCGAGCGCAAACGAACTCGGAGAAAATATTCCCGGGGTTCGCTTTTCACTCTCTTGATGCCGCCTCTCTGCGAGACCGTGTTACTTTGAAGCGAGACGATCTTCGCGAATACGAGAAATCGTACGGTCATATAGGCGTTCGATTGATCTCGCAGAAAATTCCGTTTGTTTACACGTCGCGATATTCGACTCTGCTAACGAGGAGCGAGTGAAATGAAGCGCGTCGCTCGAATCTCGTGAATTCATAATGAGATATGCAAACGACACAAAAAAAAATAAGGAGAGAAAGAAATAAAACATTATATATTAACAATAATATGTATGATAAAATCTTAATATAAATGCGATGTACGTGTGTGTTGCATTCTGGAGAAGTAACAAGATCATTATCCAGTCAAATATAAGCATTTCTAGTCGTATCTTTGCCCGATTTAACGATATACGAATCAGCGTCGGGTTATTTGGCGTGGCGGAATAATTGTCGCGTTTACATTTCTCATGAAACACGTATGTCACGGTGATTCACAGTCGACAATAAAGTCGTGGTCGTAGTTGGGTGTTAATTCATGCCGCTGGCAGTAAACCAGAATGGCCTTTAAAACGTTTCTCAAGTCGGAGGAGACGTCGCAAGGAATAAAACGTACAATCCTGCAATTTTTGCGTTAATTATCTATACAAAATGTCTTCTTTAAATCGGTCCACGAATCGTACAGTTTTGTATCATAGAGACGTATTTTCTTAACTGAGAATTGTGTTTTGGATTTATTTGTATCTATATCAATCTAATATTTATGTGTAATATACGCAAAATGTTATGTTATTAGTAATATACAGAGAGAGCTTGCTTATATTGCCATTAGAAAAAAAAATGAACATGCGTTGTCAAATTTTTCATCTTCACTGTGGACGAGAATCGTTATCAGAAGCGTCGATTTTGTAATTTTGAAGTTTAAAATTTTGCCGTGATATAATTCCTCGACTCGTGTCATTTCACGATGGGGACCGCTGGCTGGAAACGTCATTCTGCGGAGACCGCGTCTAGACCAGGTAATCTAGATCGACAGCTCGTCGCGTTAACTAACACTTCATTTAAGGCTCCAGCAAGCCACGTAGCTACGAAGCATGGTCCTTCTGGATATAATCGAACGTGACACGGCCGTCCATCCGTCGGCTGCCAGAGCGCGCCCGAATTAGATCGCGCCAATATCCCATGTAAATTATCGCTAACAGACCGCCGTCGTAATACCGAGAGCCGAAGTAACTTCTCGGCGGACAAGCCCGGCGGCTATATGGAAAGTTAAGCTTACCGGCAGTTCC